TTTTGCACATTGCTGGGATTCTCTCGTCATCCGCTTTCAGAAAATACAGGGTGTCCCAAAAGTATGTATCGAACGTTTGATCGTTAATAACTCTCTTCCCAAGAAGTCTTTTGCCTTGCTTCAGGTACCGTTTTGTAGAGCTGGCTTCAACTTAGATTTGCAGTATAGAACGAATCACTCATTTCTCTTCATTACTGTAGGATTACGGTAGAAACTTCAAGGAGGGTTTTAAGCAATGAAAGGCCATATTTTGCCCCAGAAAGGAAACAAAACAGCCTTAAAACTTTTACACTAGGCTAATTAGAGTTGCTGATTATAACTGTAAAGTTCCCAACTTATTATGATGCTTCATTGAAGAGTTATGCCAGGTAAGAAGTAGCGGCCATTTTTTCAATGTTCCTAAAAAGTGGGATTGCACCGTTTAGAAAGCTTCGTATTCTTGTGAATAGTTAATTATTGAACTCAGCGTCCATAAAAACCCTATCACACAAGTTTTCACGATTTTTTGAAAAATTTTGAAACGGCAGCTTTTTTCACATTAACACCATATGTTTCAAGTTTCTACCGTAATCCTACAGTAATGAAGAGAGATGAATGATTCGTTCTATAGTGCAAATCTAAGTTGAAGCCAGCTCTACAAAACGGTACTTAAAGCAAGGCAAAAGACTTCTTGGGAAGAGAGTTATTAACGATCAAACGTTCGATACATACTTTTGGGACACCCTGTATATAGGTTTCCGGGAAAAAAGGAATTTTCCTATTAGGTGAAGAGCTCGCAGCCGTTTTTCCGGCTTTAAGAGAAGGACATTTTTGAATCACTGCTGAAAGCAAGCAAGATGTTTTAAAATGAGTTCATGATTGTTTTGGTTTTGTGTAAACCAGTCAGCTTTGAGGTGAACAAATTCCTTTTTACCTCATTGGAAAGGATTTCAAAAAAAAAACATGTCAAAATGGACCAAAACGTGTCAGTTTTTTGTGACACGTGGCAAGGAGGAAGTCCTTCTAGAATCTATGAAAAATTATTTTTACATTAAAGATAATATATAAGAGCTTTCCGAAAAAATGGGTTCGGATAACGGTAAAGTACCAAAAAAAATTGTAATTTTTATATGAGAAGTGGGAAAGCGCTTAGGTGTCATCGAATTTCTCTCGTCTCCGTTTTCAGAAAATTAGGTTGTGGGAAGAGAGATGCTAAAAGTATTTGGTGAAAGGGGTGGGAACATGGTATAATGGGCATGTTCCTTTAGCTCTTTAAAACGAAGTTTTTGGAGGACATAAAGGAACATGCCCATTATACCATGTTCCCACCCCTTTCACTAGGTACTTTTAGCATCCTCTCTCCACAACCTATATATTTTCTGAAAGCGGACGACGAGAGGAATTAAATGAACACCTAAGCACTCTCCCAGCTTCTCATATAAAAAATTACAATTTTTATTAAGAAATTACGTAATCCGGAAAAACGGTTGCGACCACTTCACCTAATGAAAAAAAAAACCTTTTTTCCCGAAATCTTATATTTTCTGGAAGCGGATGACGAGAGGATCCCAGTAAAGTGCAAAAGACTCTGCTAGCTTCTCATATATTAAAGTTACAAACTTTTATAAAATAATTTTCTTAACTCTAGAACAAAAATCAAACCTTCACCGATAGAGAAATCCTTTTTTCCCGGCAAGCTGTATGTTTCTGAAAGCAGATGGAAACTAGATTTGATCATTTATTCTCCGCCTCTATACCCCTATAGAAAAAAATGTTATCATTTTTATTTTGCAACGCTGTAGAACTCGTGCTCTATTTTTCTACCAGTCTAATGTCCGTCACTTCACATAATGTGTATACAATCGCAAAGTGGAAATATTAAAAGATGGAACAGTGACTCTGTAAGGAGTCAGTCAATGACTCTTTACGCATTCCCCATTTGTTTAGAAAATTTATTCCTCTTGAAAAGAATTCAATTCAACTGCGCACCGATTATCAAAGTTCCATTATTATTTCACTTATTATTTTAGCAAATACGTGAGTACTTCATTGACATATATACATTAAGGTTTTACACGTAAAAATTTTCTCTATGCTTTTTCGTCGTTCTCCAGAAATGAACAATTGGCAACAAATTTCCGACGTACTTCTCAGTGAACCTGCAAATAAGTGTTTGACAATCCTAATACTAATATTAAGAATCAATAATGTCACTAAATTCGATCTTAATAATGCCGATAGTTTTATAATTTTTCCACTTTTATAAGAAAGATTGAAAAAAAGGCAAGCACTTATTAAATGTGAGTTGGGAAATAAGAAATTCGTATTTCTTCGAATTTCCTATGGCGAACATTGGCGCAGCGCTCCTCACACCCTCCCCCTCCGGCGGCCCTCATACCCCCACACCCGGAGGGGTGGGATCCTATGACCCCCTTCATCCTGGGAAAACCGTGTTTCCCCCTTGCACACGTGTGTGTGTAAGTATGTTAAAATTAAATAGTTCAAACTGTTCAATTTTCTGCCATTTGATGAAAACGCACAAAATTGCATCCCACGATATATATACGCTTAATATCAGCCAAATTCTAACTCGATCCATAATCAGCCGTGTTGGAAGTCTGACAGATGACATTTCGTGGTTTTTGAATAAGATGAGTCAATTATTGACAAGGGTTCTCGCAGACTTATCTGAAACTTAACAATTCCTAGAGCAACTGTAACACGAACTTGAACCTAGTGTTCTCATGTAGTCTTCGATGTGCTGTTGATGTTACAACGGCATTGCTCATTCGGAGATGTTAGATAAGCACAAGAAGACAATCAGTAACTTTGGGCTGAGTAAAAAACAAGCAATGCTCTCATACAACACAAGCATGTTTGAATGTAACACCTTTACGTGGTCTGGAAGATACTCCACTCAGATTCGAAGACCCGCAGTGGGCCAACGCTTAGTGCCAGTCGTTGCTAAAAGCTTTTTTCTAGAACTGAAGAGCCAGTGCACGCACTGATGTATTGTTGTTTATCCATGACTATGTGCGGTCATTGTGACTTGCTAAATCAGCAGTCTAAGTACATCAAACTTACTCGAAAACCCCACAAAACGGACGCCTTTCTTACATCAAAATCAAGCCAACCTTCGCGATGGTGTTGTTCATGTGAAATAATATCGTAAAAACATCTTCAAAAACATCTTGGTTATGCCAGACTATGTGACCCGCAGCGAAAAGCAGTCATTCGTATTACGACAAGAGATGCTTCGAAGGGTATGCGCTACAAAGAGCGGCTTGAATAGAGAACGTCTGCATCAAATCGCGTGCAACAATGGATATGCACAATGTATCCATGGAGCCCAACTGCAAGATGATGTGATGCTAGTTATTATCCCGAATAGTAATTTAAGGGGACAGAAAGAAACATACTTTGTGATACCGAATGCTTAATGGAATATTGTATATACTGTTTGTCTCTATGACAGTATAAGAGACCGTGCAAAGGCGGATGTGGCGCACCAGCTAGATTGTCTAGGCTGCCAGGACTGCTATGTTGGAGAAACGGTAGAAAGCTAGCTTCAAGGATGAAAGGGCATGTGGCACGTAGAAGATGAGGAACTTTGTGCCGTTAGGATGACATTAGTTTGAGCTGCATTAATACGAAGTGAAAAAGGCAATTGGACAATCGAGACCAATATTGCGCCAGGTTACTTACGAGGTTTGTTACAAATCGCAGTGGCAGTTTGAGAAGAGCTGGGTAGTGGGATACGTCTTTCGGTACAGTAGTTCCAAAACCACCGTCGCTAGCTGCAGAACAACTCTGTTAGAGGGGTCTACGGGCATTTTTTCGCACGAGACCCCGCGCGCCTTGACTGAATACGGTTGCCACATTGCAACCATCCGTACAGGCGTAGCGCAAAGGCAAGTGTATTGACTATCGTGCGGATGTGAGCAGAGGCGGTATTTATCAATTTCCTGCACATCTCTCATACCTGTTCAGGAAGCTACCGTGGAAAGCAGCACACCAACCGCGCGAGCGGGAGCATATCGAGAACGCCTGCTGGCGTAAACTTTGCATATGTTAAAAACATGAAAACCATATTTTCTTATTTTTGTTCATTCCTTTCGGTCATCGAGCACATTTTTTGCATTTATATGCACATTTAGTGACCACGTCAACAATTGTAAAGTAAGATAGAAGGATTAGAATCATCTTTCTTAGAGAGTGCTGGCAACGGCCAATTTGTTCTGAATATCAGTAATCGTTGAATTGTACTGTAGGACAATTCGTAGCAGTGGGATAAGTTAGTTAAATGCAGAAATGTATCACAAAGTCAAATTTTTGGCTTAACGAGATCAGTACATATCAAAAAGAATGAAACGGTATGAAATGGAAGACTGGAATGAAACACTTTAGTTATTAGAAATTCCCATCACAATCATACTATCTAGATCTCGCATAGGACAAGCATTGGTTCAAGGGTCCGATCTGGCAAGTTTGGCCATGTCGGGCACGGCAGACCCAATCTCGACAGATCGGGCTCTGTTGCACGTTCAGGTCAGGCCAAATAATTCACAGAAATTACGGTTAGACGCCCTCGCCTGTCCGGGCCGTGCATAACGATGGAAAGCGTCCGACAGCGAGCGGGAGTTTGGTAAGTACCCTTTGCAACCAGCTTAGCACGATTAGGGCAAGGCTGCAGGGCTCCGCCCTCCAGCCGCAACCGCCTCGCTTGGACCTGCACCGCGGCTGCGTTGCATCGTCCCGCATTTTGCCAGGTTCTTCAATCGATACGTCACTGCCGGCCCCTCACATGCGAATTCGTTTCTTTCACGTTTCTTTCTTATTTTCTTTTCTTTGCTTAGTTTTTGCTTTTCAGAATATGGCTGCGTTTTGGGCTCTGCGTGCGTATGCAATTTCAACTTCGACTGGTGGATTGTCGACGAAATTGGTTACTGATTTTGTAGCCACTGGCAGAAAATCTGTGTTTGTTTATTCTGATGCTGCTCTACTGCTACTGTACTTCAACGATGGGCCATTTGCTTTCGCAAATGGCAGGGTATGTTGGAAGAAACCTCTGTTGTGTTTGAAATCTATGAGGTGCTTTAGATGTTGCGAGACTAATGTATTGTTAGGACAATGTCAGGTCTGTGTTCCTCTGCCGTCGATCGATTTGCGGATGAAAATGCTGTCGCCGTCCCTATGCTTGCTTTTCGTGGTGTTCACTTTGTTTTATCATTGGTCAACGACGAAGGTAGGATGTTGTGCTATGCTAACAGTTTTAATGACTTGATTGTGCCTATAAATTAACTCTATAGTGGGCCGTCATTGTTTGATATGCAAGTGGCACTACTGTCGCACAGTCCGATTTTTACATGTTGCATTGCTTTGACTATGTCTATGCTGCTTTTAGTTTCATGTTGCTCTGTCGTCGATCAAAAACGCTACTGTTTTGGTTGCTGCGTTCGCTTGTCATTCGCTATCCGTTGCAGTCATCGATCGGTTGGAAGATGAGTAGCGTTGAACTAATGGTTTGGTTGATCTGCTCAGTATTCAGTGTACTTTTCTCGTCGATCGATATGGAAGGTATTTTGGTGGTTGACTTTGCGGGTAGCTTAATTATCACAAGTGTCTGGGATTTGAACGGGCAGTACCTACGCGCACTCAAACCTGCAAATCCTTTCATAAACATGCATATGCACCCTGCAAAGCACGTGACTACCTTCGAATCTCAGACACGGGCTTTAATTATGCCATCCCACAAATTGGCTGACTACACCTTTTTTCTGGAGCGCATTAGTGCAGCGTGCAAGGTGAGATTGACATTATAGCATCTGGTGGCTTTATTTCTATCTTTTTATCAGCTGTAGGCTGCTGTCTTCGTAATTTGGGGTCAGTATTCATGCATGCAAGATCTGTATTGCTTTGTTGATTGAGAAAAGATGGGTGGACGATTTATGCTATATGGTTTCAGGTGGGTTTACTTGAACGCATCATCGCTTCATGTTGCTGTCCCAACGCATTTGTGCAGAAGTTTGGATGATGCCACGTTGCTGAACGGACAGGAGAGGAACAGTTAATCTTTCCTAGCCGGCTGGAGTAGTTGAGAAGTGGTGATTTCCTGTTCTTCTTTGTATTTCATTATTCTTTTGGAATTTTTGATTTTTTAGAGTTTATTTCTTTTTACATTTACGACTTTCATATTTACTCGGATTCCAAAACTATGTCTTCTGAATCGGACACGTCAGAGAATAAGTCTTCTGACTCGTATTCGCCTTCGCATGAGGAGCAGCTTGATGTAGAAGACCCGTCTCCTTTCTCATTATCCGCCATCTGCTTTTCCCAGGCTTCTGCTTCTTTCCTGCGCGCCTCTCTAAACCAGGCGCTCGCTGAATCCGCTACCTCCGCTAGCCACTGCACGGTTCTCGCTCTGACCTGTAACTCGCGCATAACTCACATCTCAAATTTAATCTGAAACTTGAATGAGTGTCAGATCAAAGAAAAGTTTTCGTCAACATACACCTACCATATGTACCAGCTATCCTTTGTTTTGCCATACTTGGTCAGGAAACCTTTCATTTGGTCCCAGCAAGATTCTATTGGATTGAAACAACGATGAAATGGAGGAAGCCGCAACAGGTTCACCCCAAATCCATTGCAAATCTGCTCTGTAGCGTAGCTACATAACGCAGAGTATCCACCCCTCGACTCCACGAAGTTGTTCAGCTGAATCATTCTGATTATTTTCATCTGCAAAACCCAGACGATGTTACCTCCTCCAACAGCTTCGCTTTTGTAGCAGATGTACTCACTTCCACTGCTTTCCTTTCGGGATAGTCCCTAATCTCCGCCTTGGTGGACGACATCTTGGGGATCTTCTCCAGTTGCCGGGTGTGGTACGGCGCGTTGTCCATAACAAGACAAACGCGCCGGACCGCGTCTCACCCGTACGTTCCTTCATGTATGGCAAGCTGTCCCGCATCCACGACTCGAAGAAGTTGTGGTTCATTGCCCTATGGTAGTCCCCGTCATCCGCCAACCCGCTTTTAAACACCCTCGTGCATTCGTTGATCACACCGTCTTTGGCCAGCGCTCCAATCACTATAGCTCTCCTTCCTTTGTTCTTAGCTGCTGTTCTGCCACCATAGGAGTATTTGATGAAGGTGGATGGGGGGGGGGCGAACTCGGGGATGTGTCATTCCAACCCTTCTTCTTAGTCATTCCGCTATAAACTCAAGTTTCGTCCATGTAGACCAAATACTCTTCCTTCTCTCTTGCCAGAGCTATAGCTTTCAGATATCGCTCCCTCTTGGCGACTAAGTCAGACCTTTCAAAAATTATTCTCTGCCTTTGGTTTTTCTTGTAGGAAAAATCCAGCCCTCTGACTAGCCTGTACAGCGTGGTGTACGATAAGGTGAAGTTCTCGTGGGCTGAGGACAATTCTTGAAGAAGGTCTCTCATGGTTACGCCTTCTTCGTCTCGCAGCTTCTGATGGATTGTCTGCTTGACGATTTCGCCCCAGGCTGGGCCATGCTTCTTGACGGCAGCCAACCTCCTCTTCTTTCTGGTGTGAACATTCCCTTCTGTATTTGGCGCTCGCGTGTGTCCCATACGGCATATCGTCCTTTTCGAAATGCCCGGTGCAAGGGCAGTGATCTCGATGGGCGAACTGAATAACGCCTTCGCGCATGTGTCTTTGAGCTTGATCTTCATCTCCTTAGCAAATTCGAGGAAGCGCTTTACTAGCTCCTTTTCTTGGCGTCCATAGTTCTTCCTTCTGCGTACTTCTCCACGCCAGCTGCTGTGCTTCAATGATTCGATGGTATCTTTACAAGCATCGCAGCGGCATTGTTTTACGTCCTCGAAGTGTTCCTGAAACAGGAAGTTACTCATTCAGCATCGTTCAACATTGTGAGTCTAACAGTCAACATGCTGTAAGTTCAAGCAAAAACCTCTGCTCTGTTTGTAAGTGCTTTGTATATGTTTTATTACATTTAGTGTGTGTTCCAAGCATGGACTTCATCAGCAAAAAGTCGCAATGCTGAGGAATTTCTCACACTTCCAAGACAGGGCGACCTTAGACTGATTCCTTGTGAAGAACATGCAAGAGATAACTTACCACACTTGGTGTCATAGTGTACTAAATAGTGAATATAAACGAGGAAGACGAATGAAAAGAGGATAGGTTCGAATGAGGCGGTAGTCCTTCGAATAATGAAGCATGGATGATGAGGAAGAAGCAGTAGCGGAATAATAGGGGAAGAGTAGATTTTCGGTACGAGAAATATCGTGTTTGTCCGACGCAGTTGCAAGTTCCTCATTCTCATTTAGCATAGATCGCGTGAAAGCATTGAAGCAGAAACCGCGTTTCGTAGAAACGGTGAAATCCATCTAGTCAGCAGTGAAGGTTGAAGTCTGCTCTTAATCATCGAACCCACCATGTCTGGACTGTAGGAAATCTGCAATGTTTCTGTGTACTCTAGCAACGGCGCGGTTGTTTCTTCCATTGCTTCATCTATAGGAGAATGTACTTCTTCTTCCATTGTTTCCTCAGGAGAGTATACTGGATCTGCGCACTAAACAACACTGGCTATCAATAGCAATCGCTTCCTCAAAGAGAAGAACCCTACTTGGCGAAGGCTTCGCGCCATCGAGCTAAGTTCTGGTATGATTACTGTCACCTTAAAACATTGTTTTAATCGAAAAGTTATTACGATCAACAAGTTCTCACTGGTTTGCCGCGAAGTTTACGAGCAGTTGATTTGATGTCGTTGATATTTGCAGTGCTAGCATAAGACTGTGCGGGAGTGGTGTCCTCATGCGCGCGCTATGAGACATTGATATGCTTCGCTCAAAATCACGTTGAGTGTAAGTAGTGTGCAGGACAGAAAAGGATCTTTTTTACTCACTGTCTGAAAGCGAAGGCAAACCGCCGTTTCTTTGATGTTTGGAGCGATTCGAACTGGCTGAAAAGGTGGATTAGCAATTTCAAGTCAGTTCAGTGGATATCTTACAGGAACATGTCGAAGACGAGCCGCGGTTGCCTTTATGTTGGGGACTCGGATATTCTGGGAATTCGAATGTTACGTGACAGAAACGTATAATAGCCTGATTACCGCTAGCGGGCTCCGAACTGCACTTTGCGGATCGCTCTATAAATAAAATGATAGAAATGTTAAATATATTATTGGTATCAAGTACCAAGTGACTTATTCAGGGGCTGCGCGTGGCTCTTGGCGAGTCGGCATTGGGAACTAAATCAAAGCGTTCGAATCAAAATCAGTAGCAATCAGGTATGGAACTTACAGAATTTTCGTTCGGATTGGCGTTGTTCATTTTTACGTGCAACTGAAAACGTTGATAAATAAAATTAGGTTGGACGTCAACGATCAACTCACAATGCTTGTCGTTCGTGGAAAAGCGATTGCTTGGAAACGTGAATCGGATAGCGATACCTGCAAGTGTGAAAGCTAAAGGTATGCATTTGACAATTTTTACGAGGAATTTGGAATAGCAGAACCTCACAATCTCCATCATTTCCTTACTCTCGCTTTCACTCTCATACAGATAGACACACACGCGAAAATCGCATACACATAGACACACACAGACAAACACACAAACAAAGGGACAGACAGACAGACACACAAATAAGCACACACACAAACACACATGAAAACTAATACACAAACAAACACAAACAAGCACATGCACAAACACACATACAAACTAACAGACAAATAAACACACAAACATATAAACACACATGACACAGACACACAAACAAACGCACACAACACAAACACACAAACAAACACACAAACATACAAACACACATAACACAAACACATAAACAAACAACAAACATACACAACGCACATACATAATGCATACAAATGAGTAAAAAACACAACAAGATACAACACGTTCAATGTGCAAACAAAACAAACAATCATGCAAACACACAACACACAAAGAACAAGCAATATAAAACACATTTTGCTTTCTTTATGGCAGGGCTGAAAATCCCTATTCGACCTATCTAGGCGCTCATAGGGAGTTTATTTTTTTAATCGTTAATTAATCTTCTTATATATAAAGCTGAATGTCTGTTTGTCTGTATGTATGTCTGTATGTCTGTATGTATGTATGTATGTATGTATGTATGTTCCGAATAGAAAATTCCATTTCTGAACCGATCCGGACCAAACTTGGCACACATACACTTCGGGCCCCGGCGGGTGTCATAGGCTACTTTTCGTCATCGATCGATATCGATTTTATCGATTTTTATCGATTTTTTTGCTGAGTTCACCTACGGGGCTGGGAGTTGGCACAGGGGGGTAATCGAGCATGGGGATTCCGAATACAATATTGGTTTTCGGGATTATCGATTACTTTTATCGATTTTATCGATTTTTTTGCAAAGTTTGAGCTACGGGGCTGGGAGTTCGCACAGGGGGGTAATCGAGCATGGGGATTCCGAATACAATATTGGTTTTCGGGATTATCGATTACTTTTATCAATTTTATCGATTTTTTTGCAAAGTTTGAGCTACGGGGCTGGAATTTGGCACAGGGGTGTAATCGAGCATGCTGATCACCCCCGTGGGGGTGATCAGCAGGCTCGATTACACACCCCCTGCCAAATCCCAGCACCGTAGCTCAAACTTTGCAAAAAAATCGATAAAATTGATAAAAGTAATCGATAATCCCGAAAACCAATATTGTATTCGTAATCTGCATGCTCGATTACCCCCTGTGCAAACTCCCAGCCCCGCAGGTCAAACTTTACAAAAAAAATCGATAAAATCGATAAAAGTAATGGACGAACCTGAAAACTAATATTGTGTTCGTAATCAGCATGCTCGATTACCCCCCTGTGCAAAATCCCTGCCTCGCATGTCAAAATTTACAAAAAATCGATAAAATCAATAAAAGTAATCGATAATTCTGAAAACTAATATTGTATTCGGAATCCCCATGCTCACTTCCCCCTTGTGCCAACTCCTAGCCCTGTAGGTGAACTCTGCAAAAAAATCGATAAAAATCGGTAAAATCGACATCGATCGATAACGAAAAGTGGACTGTGACACCCGCCAGGGCCCGAAGTGTATGTGTGCCAAGTTTGGTCCGGATACGGCGGAGCCGGGTAGGCCAGCTAGTCTTTTTATAAAGCTTTGCATGGAGTAAAATCAGAGCATCAATCTACCTTACCGGGTTAGCACCAATTCGTGGCATAAGATAGCACTGAGTTCATGTTTTGCTAGATCTTCTCATTGAAACTAATTTCAGTAACGAATTGCCAGGGGTGGATTGAGCAAAAGGAACACGTGTGCACCCAACGGAGAGAAGGTCAGCCATTTTCCATGATCAGTTCTTTATGTTTTGATATGGATTACTATTGGCTTCTAATTTGGGAGTTCTACTCCTCTTCTTATCCTTCACTAGAGTCCAAATTTGGCAATGTTTTTTCATTTTGGATCATTACAAGCTTTGTCTCCTACTTCCGTCGTTTACGCCTTCTAATACTCATTTGTTCTTTTCTAGAAGTTCACGGTTTTATCGAGAGTGCCACGTGGAACGAACTAGCCACGGATAAGGGCAAAAAGTACGGAAATGTCTGGTTTACTCGTGCAAATGCAAAATTTTCTTGGATTGTTGTCCTTTCGTGATTCTGTTCACTTACTAAGTAGTGAACAAGTAAAATCTCGATCTTTATTCAACGATTTACCAGCAATAAATCTGTGAAAGATATTTGTCCAGCGCACAGACAAATCGATAATAATGAAAGTTACATGAGAACGCCCAACATGTTGCGGGTGTAAATTGACAAATCATCAAAGGAAGATTCGAAAGGAAGCCACTGTTTTCTCCGCCGATAATTAGCTGATTTTTGGTATGGGATGCGTTCAGACGTCCTGTTCAGTGATAAGACACCTAAAAGACTTCGATTCAAAAAAAACATTCGGAAATAGTAGAAGAAAGGCTCACATTTGCAGCTGACAAAAAGCAACCACACTTACGACATTAGTAGCAACAGTAAAAAGATAGACGACAGAGCAATATAACCTAAAAATAGAGGTTAAGCAAACAAACACTGGGATTAAACAGGAACCCACCTTGATTGCCGATCAAGACACGTCAAACCATCTGGCAATAGGTAGCGAAAAAACCATAGGTAACCGAATTACGAAAAGACAGCAGCCTACAGTTGATAAAAAGATAGAGGTAAAGCCACCCAATGTTATAATGTCAATCTCACCTTGCACGCTGCACCAATGCGCTCCAGAGAAAAGGTGTTCTTGAAGTCAGCCAATTTGTGGGATGGCATAATTAAAGCCCGTGTCTGAGATTCGAAGGTAGTCACCTGCTTTGCAGGGTGCACATTATACTTTGGACCGAATCGAATGATTATTCGATTATTCGAATAAATCATTCGAATGCGAATGATTCGAAAATTCGAATATTCGAAAATCTGAGATTTCGAATAATATTCGACAGTCGAATATTCGAAAATTTTCATTTTCGAATATTATTCGACAGTCGAATATTCGAAAAAAATCTCGAATTTCCCAAAGTATAGTGCACATGCATCTTTATGAAAGGATTCGCAGGTTTGAGTGCGCGTAGGTACTGCCCGTTCAAATCCCAGACACTTGTGATAATTAAGCTACCCGCAGAGTCAACCACCAAAATACCTTCCATATCGATCGACGAGAAAAGTACACTGAATACTGAGCAGATCAACCAAACCATTAGTTCAACGCTACTCACCTTCCAACCGATCGATGACTGCAACCGAATGACAAGCGAACGCAGCATCCAAAACAGTAGCGTGATTTGATCGACGACAGAGCAACATGAAACTAAAAGCAGCATAGACATAGTCAAAGCAATGCAACATGTAAAAATCGGACTGTGCGACAGTAGTGCCACTTGCATATCAAACAATGACGGCCCACTATAGAGTTAATTTATAGGCACAATCAAGTCATTAAAACTGTTAGCATAGCACAACATCCTACCTTCGTCGTTGACCAATGATAAAACAAAGTGAACACTACGAAAAGCAAGCATAGGGACGGCGACAGCATTTTCATCCGCAAATCGATCGACGGCAGAGGAACACAGACCTGACATTGTCCTAACAATACACGAGTCTCGCAACATCTAAAGCATCTCATAGATTTCAAACCCAACAGAGGTTTCTTCCAACATACCCTGCCATTTGCGAGAGCAAATGGCCCATCGTTGAAGTACAGTAGCAGTAGAGCAGCATCAGAATAAACAAACAGATTTTCTGTCAGTGGCTACGAAATCAGTAGCCAATTTCGTCGACAATCCACCAGTCGAAGTTGAAATCGCATACGCACGTAGAGCCCAAAACGCAGCCATATTCTGAAAAGCAAAAACTAAGCAAAGAAAAGAAAATAAGAAAGAAATGAAAGAAACGAATTCGCATGTGAGGGGCCGGCAGTGACGTATCGATTGAAGAACCTGGCAAAATGCCCGGACGATGCGACGCAGCTGCGGTGCAGGTCCAAGCGAGGCGGCTGCGGCTGGAGGGCGGAGCCCTGCAGCCCCGCCCTAATCGTGCCAAGCCTGGTTGAGTCAAAGGGTACTGCCCCAGGTTTGGTTTCTTTGCTGGGCAGCATTTTTGCAATTCATATACACACTCCTAAAATGTACAATGGTAACTACTACGTTGTTTTATATCTCATGAGGTTAAAAAGTAGAAAAAGGTTTTTGTTGAGGCTTATATTGCGGGTATCTCTGGTCCGCGTGATAAAGCATCCAACCAGAAGTTCATTGTCAAATTTAGCACACAATGCTGTGGAAGAAGCGAAGAAAAGGTGCTCTTATCTGTAGTCAGAGTTCTATCACACATATGTTATTATAGCACAAAATGCTTGAAGCAGAAAAGTCTTTCGCAATAAGGGCATTATATGAACGTAAGCTGTTGTTGCAGGTGAGCAGGTGCAGTTTTCGTTACAGTTTCCTATCATGTTTGAAGCACATCATTGTAAAGGTGTTTCAAAGGAATCCGGATGCGGGTTGATGTAGCCTAAGCAGAGGTTGTTTCACCCTGTGTGAAGTGCTCTTTTGATGAAAGATATCATGATGTTTTTATTTGCTTTTCAACCCACTAGAGAAAGGAAGACAATGTAGTAGTAACCATTATACACGTTTTAGGGGTTGTAAGGGTTCCTTCATACTACGCCGCGCACTCCGCGTACGCCGCTGCAGCGCAATGGAAATATGCTCACGGCAGCAGAGCTCTACTTTATTTTTGGATGTAACTCTATATTTGTTGCACATTGTGTCCCTCAATAGTGTTCCATCACATCATGCATTTTTTCCTCTCTTTTGCTTTGTTTATCCTGTCTATCCTTTGTCTACATCAATGATTGATGGAATGACTTAGGTTGTTGTGCTCCCTCTACTTTTGAGTTTCAAATTTTATATCGTAACTGACTGCAAATTGCGTCTTCTGGTTTTATATTGGTAGTATATGGTTGTACAATACCGCTCACAGAATGTGCAAAATTTCCGTGAATGTCGCAGAATTCCGGAAATTCCGCGAAGGTTCGCGAAATTCCGGGAATTCCGCGAAGTTCCGGGAATTCCGCGACATTCCGGGAATTTCGCGAACCTTCGCGGAATTCCCGGAATTCTGCGACATTCATGGAAATTTTGCACATTCTGTGAGCGGTATTGTATGGTTGTATGTTGTATCATTGATTCTCGAACAAGTATCGTATATAGCCAGTATCGCCAGTATAGCCAGTATATTGCCAATATCGTCATTTTACTCGTGAGATTATGTAAAAAAGGAGAGTAACGGAAAGAAAATTTCTACAACCTGCATTCACTCCGCATTCACAATGTTAACGTATCTGGGGTCAAAACTGTACAGAAATGAATGATGAAATGACGCTCGTAATAATAAGCACTTATAGGAACATCAAAAAAAGTGGAGCACTGCTGCCGTGAACATATTTCCATTGCGCTGCCGCGGCGTACGCGGCGTACGCGCGCGCCACTAAACCGATCCAGCTGAAACTTTGCACACGTATGTTTTCGACCCCGGCGCTGGTTTAGGGCTACTTTTCGCGGCGATTCACTGAGCCCTTTGCTTTTTGCGCACGTTTGAAGAAGTTTAGAAGCATAAGTTTACACGTTATGTGAGCTAAACTAATTCGGAGCCTCGGGTGAGGCCGGGACTATCAGCTAGTGTCAATGAAAAGTAGAAGTTGGAGTGAAATAAGAGATTTCAAAGTTTCACTTGTACATAATTGTTATCGATCAATGGCTATAAAAATGAATAAGGAACCTATGGCTACTGTGACAAAGCATTAGAAGAATTAAGAGATCAAAATAGGATGATTGAGTTGATTTTTTGGTAAAATAAAACCATGAAACGGTAATGTTAGCCCATTGACGACGATGTGGACCACCGGTGGCCCAAAACAAGCGGCCCTCCCGGGTTCCACCCGTTTTGGAGCCTCCATCGCGATCTCTCATGTAGCGAAATTTACTTGCGAAATTTTCTACCATATCTTGATGACCAGCAGATCAAAATAAGCTTCACCGTTCATCCTTCATCACTACGGGAAATGTGCACAGACACACAGACACACATTTTTCGCTTCATATATATAGAGATAGACAGAACATATAAAACTGCTGGTAAAGCTTAAGCGCAGGATGTTGTGTGAGCATGCTTACAGTGATATCGAAATCTGATTCCAGTGTTCTAATTTGATTAAGATAATTTTTGGGCTCAGAAGTACCTCATAATAGCCCCGCCCCTCGTGGGAAACAGTGCCCACTCCGTGCCTCTCACAAGGAAGCTTTTTGCACTAAGAGCGCTTAGGAGAGTTCATAGATAACTGTGAAGAAAATGGCCTTAAAGTCAACTCCACCTGTCGTTAGGTTCCACCCCCTTAACGGCAAGCTGCCACTTTCCAAAATTGCGTAAAGTTGCACAATTCTTTAAAGCAATCCGGCATTTTCATCAAGTAGGCGGAGCTCGCCAAAAGAGGGCGGCGCGGTCATTCCCACTTGCATATTTGTACCTCACGCATACATGCATGCATACATACATGTAGCCAGGCGTAAAAGTGCGCGGAAAAATTCCTTCGCAGGGAGGGACGTCAAAAAAGGCGTGGTCAACATGATAAGCAAACAGCCATAGACTCTGCTTTCTCACAAGGGAAGGATACTCGATCGCAGTGACGACTGGGTAAACGGTTTATATCGCGTATACCGTCCCCAGACGGTGATCTCTGAACCGCAATCCATACCTGCTAGGAGTCATTCTGGAAGAGCTATGAAGGATTTTTGGAGTTGCAGGCGCATTCAATCACTGGACTTGCCTCATCACTGCCGTGGTCGACTGGTGCAAGAAATAGATAGTGGCTTGCACTGCTGAGCTGGATTTCATGTTGCCGAGGGTTTGGCGTTAATACAAAATACTTCATTGCTCTTCCAGAATGACGTCATAGCAGATAGGGAGTGCGGTCTAGAGATCACCGTCTGGCGACGGTATACGCGGTATAAACCCTTATCCAATCGTCACTGCGATCGAGTATCCTTCCCTTGTTAGATAAATTAATGAGAAATTTTGATCTTATGAGGATGTTAGGGCCCACAATCTCTTTCAAACCTCATCAATTTACAATCCATCCCCTTGCATTCTTATCACAGCACTTCTCACTTACAAAGAAGGGTCACGAAATTGAAGTGGCCGATCACTACATACTATACTTGGGTCCGAATCGAATAGAAATTCGATCATTCGAATAAAACATTCGAATATATTCGTATTCGAAATTCGATATTCGGAGTTCTTCCATTTTCGAATAATATTCGAAACTCGAATAATCAAAAAACAAGGTTTCGAATATTATTCGAAAACTCGAATAATCAAAAAACGGGGTTTCGAATAGATTTTATTCGAATGTTTTATTCGAATGTTTATTCGAATTCGTATTCGAATGACTCCGTATTCAAATTATTCGACTTTGTTGCAAAGCCAACTGCTGAGTATCAAGCTCACTTCGTCCGCGTTTTTTTCGCAAAACTCGGTAATGCATCTTTTGCAACCGTTATACCTTTGAACTGTATGGAAAGTCGCATTCTTCCGACTGCATGCGGCAGTAAAAAAATCATATGTGGATTTTAATTAATGTAGAAAGTAGAGCAAGCCCTTTGCTTTTACATTGTTGATGCTGATAAGAAAAAATGTTAATTCTGGTGTACATCAGTCTCTTTCAGACCATCTGAAGAAGAATCTTTTGGGCACAGCATAAAAATTTATATCGATGCTTTTTAGATCGTCCATAATGGGTAAAATATGACTTTTTGCTGATGTATAGACTAGATGCCGACCGACCGACTTTATCGATTTTTGGGGAAGTTTGAGCTGCGGGGCCGAGAGTTGGTACAAGGGGGTAAGTGAGTGTGCTGATTATGGATAAAAATTTACTTTATAAATTTTATCGATTTTTGGAAAATCTCGAGCTACGAGCTTGTGAGTTGGTAGAGGGGGTAAATGAGAATGCTGATTAAAACCGAAATCTATTTTATCGATTTCAGCAATTTTTAAAATTTTAAGCTAGGAGTTGGTAAGGGGATACTAGGGGGCTGATTATGATTGGATCGGCTCTAGCCAAATATGTCGGCAAGTTTGAGATGTGATTGCGGTACTTTTCCGTTATCCGGACCCATTTTTTCAGAGAGAGATATTGCTTCTATCCTTGTACCATATATTGTCCCAGCTTCGCAGGAAGGAGTGTCAACCTTCTGCCACGTGTCAAAAAAATTTGACATGTCATCTACATGTTTAACAAGTTTTACCAAGAGTTTGTTTTACCCTATCTTGCGATGTAAGTTTAATCTGTTTTTTAATTAATTTGACCTCATTTCGTTCAAACAGTTTCAAAGTGAACATTGTCATGATAATAACGACATACTATCATCGATGAACAGATTACTTGCTGAGGGTAGAGAAATGCGCTAGGATTCGTCATTTAAAAGACGAAATGAGCAGCAGCAAGGAACTTCAAGCTATCATTTACAGTTTTTTCGGCTAAATTCGCATGGCGAAAAGGGTTTTAAGAGTGAGAGAAATAATT